AAATAAATTTGATTCTAACTTCTTGATTCTGACGTAGAAAAGTTATTTTCGTTAACAGAGAGTTTCATACTATTTCGACCTTTATTCAGTCGTTTGTTTTTGCTATGACACAGTATCGAAAGTAAAAGTGCTGGAGATGATTGTCAGAAGGAATGGCAAGGAAAGACGTAGAGAATCTGATAGAAAAAAAACAAACTCCGTGGTCATCTAGTGGATAGTTTTCGCCTGGAATTCGTTATTTCTCCAGAAAAATAGATGCACAGTCGAAGCCATTTCCTGGCGGGTAAATTGAAATCGTCTGAACAACAGTAAGAGAAGACTTCATACAATCGCATTGAAATGTAAGAAAAAAAAAAGAAGACGGAGAAAAACAGGAGGAGAATAGAAAAAACAACACATAAATAGAAGAGAAATCATATTGCCAATTTCCAATGTCAATTGTATTGTTGGATTAGAACTTTTCTTTTCTTTTGTCTAATCCACCGCAGTTCTTCATGTTATTTACCGTTTTTCTAACTGCTTACTTTTTCCCGTTCAGCTGGTTCTTGATTTTCTTATTAACTACCTTTCTTCTTCTTCTTCTTCTTCTTCTTCTTCTTCTTCTTCTTCTTCTTTATTTTACATTTACATTTTCGCCATCTACTTTCCTCCAACTTTTTCTTAATCTTTTTTTTTATTTTTCTTATCTTCAATTATTCTCTCATCGCAAAATTGCCTGTTCTCGATCGATCACCGAAGTTAAGCAACATCGGCCCGGTAAACCGATTGGAAACAACTGGTACAGTAAGCAAACTCCTATAATATGTGTCAGCTTTAAATAACACACAAAGGGTTGATAAACTGTAAAAAACACATCAATGATAAAAAAAATCTTCTCCTTACCTCTCCACCTCTTTATTAAACTACCTCTCTACCCCACCCGGCAGTATTTTTCTTTTTTCATCACTATGATTATTTTTCCTCTATTTTTTTCAAACTCTGAAAGCATAGGTTTTCGTCGTATTGAAGAAATAACGAATCGGATCAGTACAAAAATGGATGACTGCTTAATAACTAGACGTGCTGTAAATAACGTGTGGCTGATTTGTGGATTGCTGCCTTGGTTAAAAAATCGAAGAGACGAATTCGAATTCTAGGCGAGTTCACACAGACTGGGTTCTATAGCCTTGGCTGGTAACCTGTCTAGGAGAAGGAAAATCTCTGAATACAAATCAGCCTACTGCCTTACCGGTTTCTACCTCTTTAGGCAAAGGCTAGAAGAATGTTGCTTCAAAAAACAAATCCACATCGCATGTCATCGTCTCAAAAAAAGAAACTACATTCCATGATTTCGGGACGCGATAGAAAATAATGGCTTCCTTGAGCTCAGTACAATTATTCGAACACTGAGATACGACATTGAACCGTAGGCCTTCTTTGAATCATTCGCCCATGGGTTTATCACCTAATAATATGTGGCTTTCTAGCAAACAAGAAATAAATATTTTGTTTACTTTTTATCTATCTCTTTCTATCAGCCTCTTTTAAAATTCCTTTGACTAGTTTTTTCTAGTGTATATCAAGCGGAAAAGATTTCAACATTGCCTCTTTTATATATATTCCTGCGATTGCTCATCGAATGGGATTTATTATATGCACATTAAATTTAAATTGGACCCTAAAGTTTAGAAAAAATTAAGACAACCAACAAGAAAGAAAGAAAGGAAAGGTAGATACTCGGATATATGATCATTGATAAATTCTAACAACCGACATTTACGTGTTGTCGGTTGGGTAATAATCATCGAGTTTTTTTGTTTTTTTTTCTGGCTGAAAATCTCCAAGTCATGCTGCTGCTGCTAAATCTCATGTCATTAAGATAGATAGATAGATAGATAGATAGATAGATAGATAGATAGATAGATAGATAGATAGATAGATATGATTCCATGAATGGACCAAAATATATGTATATATCGATCTATACTTAAGTAGAAAAACAAAACGTAATGCTAGTGGCTCATTTAATTAAATCAAACATTGTCAAAATCTGCTTGGTGTTTATTTCTAAGTTAATAACATCCTGTAATGAATCTATAGAACCTTGGGTATGTTGCTTGCCTGTCGACTCGCAGTTGGACATACGAGATACGGTATCGCGACTACTGACGAAAATCAGAAAAAAATCATAGTTTTTATTATTTATTTGATCAGAAGAGCTTAATGATTGTTCATCCGAACAGAAAAAAATGGGATAAGCCCTTATTCTTTGGCTGCCTTTTTACCCTTTAAATTATATTGCGTTCTTGAAGTTCTTTCACATACGTTTTTCTTTGCTCCTACCATCGACAAAACTTTTCCCCTTTTCTATTTTTCCATTTTCTCATCTTTCTTTATTTCTTATTTTTTTTTCTTTTTCCTCCTATTCATCACCATCATCTTCATCATCATCATCCGCTGTTGGTTAATTCCACCCAGTCTCTTTGTTCGTTTCTTTCACCTTGCATCGTTTTTTTTTTTTTTTTTTTTTCGTTTCCTTCAACTACGGTCACCATCATCTCTTTAAGTCTCTTTTTTCGCCTCATCATTTTCTTTATCCTTTCATCTTTTATTCCCTTCCAATATCCTCACCCCTTTTCATTCCTTTCTCAAGATCTTTCCCTTTTTATATACTAAGTCTTTTGCCTTGATTCTAATGGTTATATCCCTGTCGATCTTATATTATGTTCTTCTCCCAACCATTTCTTTCTTCCTCGCCTTCCTCCGTTTGCCACTTGTTTCCTAGCAGTTTTATATAGAATCGCCATTCAATACTCCTAATTGGAAGCAACTCTACTTCTCTTCCATCTTTTTCTTACTTTTTAATTTCCTTCGAGCTTCTTTTAAGCTTCTTTATTCCATCGACGTCTGCGAAAAATTAGTGATTTCTTCATGCAGTTGACTCCCTTTTATTCAGTTTTTCAGTTAAGAAATTTTTACCGAATTCTGAAATTTTGAACACACTAACTCTTTTTTCAGTCTTTGTTTAATTATTTCTTTCTTTTCAACTTAAACTCATTATTGGCTCCTTTGTTTCTTTCTCCTCCTAGTTTGCTTCTGATTTATTGCTATCTTTTCTCTTTTTCTTCTTTGTTTAAATTTTCTTTCTTTTCTCTTCCCTGATTTTCATTTCTTTGCATCGTTTTCTTCTTGCGCAATTTGTTTTTTTTTATATTCTCCCTGTCCTTATATTTTTTCTTTTTCTTTTCTTTATTTCTTTCTTACTTTCTTTCTTTTTTTCTTTATTACTTTCATTCCTTATTTCTTTCTTTCCTTCCTTGCTTTTTTCTTTCTTCCTCTCTTTGCCAATCTTTATCTTTTTCTATTTGATTATTTACTTTGTTCGTTAATCCTTTCGTTTTGTTTTCATTTTTAATTTTAAAATGCACTCTCTCTCCCCAATTTCTTCTTCACTTATCCCTTACGGTTACATATTATTTCGTATTTAATATTTTCCTTCCTTCCTTCCTTCCTTCCTTCCTTCCTTTCGTTTTTCTTTTATCTTATTTGCTTCTTTGGTTTTTTTATTCTTTCTCTTTGTTCACGATTTCATAATTTCTCTTCGTTATTGTTACCGTTTCTTTCATTTTTCTTTCACTCAGCAAGTCAGCCTTTCATTCTTTTTCCATTTTTTCTTTTTTTATATTTCATTCTATTGTTTCTTCTTTATTCATTGTTTCGTTGAAAACCATTACGTTTCACTTCTTTTTCCTTCTCTTTCACACATATTTTTTTCGTTTCCTTTCCTTTCTTTCGCCCCCCCCCATGGCACGTTGTCTTACCTCTTCCGGTCCGTTTTCTTTTCCCTCTTTCTCCCACTCAAAACTCAGATACAACCTGCACTTTCTTTGTCTCTTCTGCACTCCAACAACACAAACCTACACAACCGACTCCAACACATTTCTATCCCTCGCCCCCATAATCAATGAATCAATTGCTTTCTTTCTTTGCTTCGTCTTATTTCTCCCGCTCTACCCACTGCCCTTCATTCGCTCGGCCCTTAAGCGAGCGCAATGCACCCAATCAATTAAACCCTTTCTTGTCATAACAGTTGCCGTATTGTCCAATTGAGCCGCTCTTGTGTTTTGTGCTTCAGGTTTCCGGGGTCTGGGGACCAAGCCCGGATCGGCAAGAACCCGGATGGGAGAACGGTAATGTTGGAGGGATTGAGCAGGGTGGAACGCAGAAGTGGCGGGTAGAGAAATGATAACCGACAAGTGAACGAACGGAAAGAGGTTATTGATTGATTAGGGAACCATTCTGCCCTGACGATAACCAAATCTTACCACTAGAAAAAATTGAATGAAGGAGAGAGAAGAATTAGAGTCATGTCGAGGGCGGAAGAGAGAGAAAGCAAGAGAAATAGAGACTAATATAAAATAAAAAAGATTGTAAGAGAGAGAAAAAAGAAAGAGAGAAAGAAAGATGGGAAAATGAAAGGAGAGAAAGAGAGAAAAATGGAAACAGAGTGAAAAAGATAGAAAAGAGCGTGCAAGTGTGAAAGAGAGACACACAGAAAAAGAGAAGGGAATGAAGTTAAAGAGAAGAAGGAAAAAAAGAAAGATTCAGAAAGATAGAGACAAAGATTGAGATAGTGAGAAAGAGAAAGGTGAAAAAGAGTGATAACGTGAGACTAAGAACGAGATAAATAGAAAGTGAGAGAGAAAGGCAGAAGGATGAAAAGAATGAAGCAGAGAGCGAAAGAGAGAGAGAGAGAGGAAAGTGTGAGAGGGAAAAGTTAAAAAGATAAAGAAAAGAAGAGTTAGGAAATTAGAGCTGCTAGAAAACAGAGAGAAGGATAGATAGAAAAATTGAGATGATTTAATAAGATAAAACGATGAAAAGAGAGAAGAAACAAACAAGAGATGTGTTTTTATATGGAGAAAAACTGCATTTCTTATTCTTTCCCTCTCTCTTTTCATCGTTTTATCTCATTATATCCCTTCATTTTTTCAGTGAAAAAGAGAGAGAGAGATAAAACTATGAAGGTCGCTTTTACTTCTTTCTCCCTTGTGTACGCTTTACTTTGCTCTCTTTGTTAATTTCGATTTCCGTTCCTTTTATGTACAACTAAATTGATTGATTTCTTTCTTTTCATAATTACTCTTGCTGCCTTTTAAAAATGTACCTTTTATTTGCACCCCTCTTTCTTTCATTTACGATTTCCCTATGAACTCTTTTTGCATTCGATTCTTTCACTCTCGGTTTATTTTCTACTCCTAGCTTTTTTTTCTTTCTTTCTTTTACTTTTTCTTTTATTCTTTCTTTCTTCCTTTCTTTAATAAACACCCATTCCCATTTCTTTCTTTCGTTTTCTTCCTACTTCCTTCCTTTTCTTCTTTCTCCATTTTTACTTTCTTTTTTTATCTCTATCTGTATTCCTTCGTTTCTTTCTTTTTTAATTTATTGTCTCTCTGTCAGTTTATGATTTTTCCATTTCTTTCTTTCTGAGTAATATTTGCAGTGATTTTCTTCTTAGCTTCTTTCCGACATTTTTTTCTTTTTTTATTGAGCAAATCTTCTTCCTCACTACTTACTCAATTTCCTTCGCCATTTTTCATTTCTTTCTTTCCATTTTTCATCCCGATTTATCATTTTTTGCATTTTTATCTTTGTCCTTTTTTCATATTTTCTTTTCTTCATTATTTCTTCCTATTTCTCTTTCAAATTCATTTTATAATGTAAGAAAATTATATTATATTTATCCAAGTCATACAGCTTGCACCAATTATTACAACGTGACTGTCTCGTTCATGATTCCTCATTCAGCTTTGAAAGTTCGCCTAAAACATGGCCATAAATATTTACAATCACGAACAAATTTTAAAATAATCTTTTATTTTCAATTTTTATTCTTTGTGTTTAATTCAATAGCGCTTCAAAGGTGAACAGTGCGGGATATCGGTAGCCGCTTTCGCACAACAGAGTGCAAGTTTTATTAAAAATCAAGTCGATAAAAAGCTGAGAATAAGTGTGAATATTATTTTCTGAAAGTAGACGATTTTTCAGGGGTTGAATTCTGGAAAAATACTTCACCTTTCGTTATATTAGTCAATAAACATTTAAGGTTTTTAAAGATTATTTATCTCAGTTTTGGAAATTCATATTTTTGCATTGATTCCTTCAGATTACTTTAGTTGTGTTTGTTTGTTTCAACGTTTTGGCCGACGTATTCTCCGGTGTTCATAAGTGTTGGTAGCATTTATTTGACATTTGGGATATGTTATTCTCATCTCTAGATCTTTGACAATCGAGTTTCATTCTTGAGGTTTCCAAAACACTTCTGACCCGAAGAGTAGGCAGTCGTTTTAAGTTTAATGTCTTTTATTTTGTAAATAAGGGGTTCATTTTCATACTTAACTTACAGATTGGGTTTTTTTGTACATAACATGTGTTCTGATTGCTTCAGTTCTTTTATCCTGCAATGTTCATATACGTATAATAGTCTTAATTCAGTGCATTCGAAATTTTGTTCTTTAGACTATAGTGTGCCGATGACATTAGGCAATAGGACGTTGAAACCTATGTTATTAAGTGATAGGTTTAACCATATATATATATATATATATATATATATATATATATATATATATATATATATTATTCGCAGAGATTACTCTTTCGCTGTATCACAGCTCCTCAGTGCGACTAGATATCCGAATGTCTCAAGCCCGGATTGTAACCCAACCGATTTAGTACCAGTCAGAGTTTCTGCCACTGAGCTATCTTCATTCGACAGAGAGAAACAGCTAAATCTAGAGCATTGTTTGTATGAATGTAAACAAATGCCAATCAGTCGAAGGGCTCCAATTCATTTTAATGAAAAGCTTTGCATTAACGCAGGTGGCTGTTGTTTATAGAAATATATATATATATAAGTGTGTGTGTGTGTGTGTGTGTAAAAAATGGATACATGGCTGAGTGATTAGAGCATTCGCTTTTTGAGACGCGGGTTCAAATCTTGCCAGGGTCGATTTTTAGGAATGTAACTTCTTGATGTTATCTTTCTTATATTATATTATCGATCTCAGCGTGCGAAAAATTTGGAAAGTGGCTGCGAACCATACCACGGGTTGATCCAAGGCTTTTGAGTGAAATTGGATAGACGGAACACCGAGGAAAGCTTCGGTGGTTGTACTAGCCCGAAGTCACAAGCCATCGTGACCGAGGGTTTGAACGTGCTGGCCTTGTTCAGACTGTTGTTCACGCTAGATATTGTGCTCTCTCCCAAAAACTCTAACTAAGGCTCACTTGATAAAACACCAGAATTGTTGAAACAAAATGGCTATTTTTGTAGTGTATTTATGCATATTTATGTGAAATTTTCGAATAAATAATTATATTTGCTCTACTTTGCATTGTGCACTCTTTTTAAGAGTAGTATTTGTTGGTTATTGGAATTTATTCTCTATACACCAATTCTATACTTATATATATATATATATATATATATATATATATATATATATATATATATATATATATATATATATGTGTGTGTGTGTGTGTGTGTGTGTGTGTGTGTGTGTGTGTATTTCTTCATTCACTTTTACCTTCTTGGGTTAGAGTATAAATACTTTCGAGCTGAAGCGTATTAAAGACCTTAAAATGTGATATATGGCGAGTTATAATAAAACAAGTCTCTTTGCAATCGAAGCTGAGGAAAGACGAATAAATATTCCCTGCTTAACAAAAATAATTTTATTCTGTTCATGAATATTTGATGCATTTCAAGTGAATCTATTCATTTGGTTACATTATTTCTTTTAAAATACGGTTTTTATCAGTCATTATTATCGCTTCTCTTTTCTTTATTCTTCATTTTAATCACTGCTCTATTCATCTTTTGTTTTTACTTTTTCCTCTCCCCATCTGACGTTACAATTGTCAAGTCTTTCACCCACTTCTGGTTTGAGTGTTCTTTATCACTCCACGTTTGAGGCTCTTTTTCTTGACACCCTCTCTTCACAGCAGCAATATTTTTCTTCCATTTGAAAATCAATCTCAACAGAATAGAATTCTTCTTCTTCTTCTTCTTCTTCTTCTTCTTCTTCTTCTTCTTCTTCTTCTTCATTAGTTTCCTTTTTCTTTTCTTCCTTCTTTTTCTTCCTTCTTTTTCCCCGGATTTTTCTTCATCATCATTTTCTATTTATTATTTTTTTCTTTTCTTTTTTCTCTTTTTTTTTTTTTTTTTTTTGTTCTTCGTCATTTTTCCATTTCTTCTTCTTTTAATTTCCTTTTCTTCTTCTTCAGTTCCCTTGATCTTCATCAGTATCCACTCTGCCTCTCTCTCTCTCTCTCTCTCTCTCTCTCTCTTGCCTCCTTAACTATCATTTCCCTTCTTTCATTCATTACCCATGAAATTATCATCATCATCATCATCATCATCACCATCGTCTTCTCCTCCTCATCCTCCTCCTCCTCCTCCTCCTCCTTCTTCTTCTTCTTCTTCTTCTTTTTTATAATTTCTCTTTCTTTCTTCTTTTATTTTACTTTTCACCGTCATCATTATTATCCTAATCTTCATTTCCCTTCTTCTTCTTCTTCTTCTTTTTCTTCTTCTTCTTTATAATTTCCTTTTCTTCTTTTATTCATCATCATCATCATCATCATCATCTTTTTCTCCTTCTTCATTAGAATTTCCTTTTCTTTCTTTCTCTTATTTTTTTCATCATCATCAGCATTATTATTATCATCACCTAACTATTTTCTCCTTCTTATTCATCATCATTTCCCTCTCTTTTCTTTTCTCCATCTCTTTCCTCTCTGATTTATAATTTCTTTCTCCTATTGTATTTGATTATTCATTGTCTTTTCAACTCCTGTCTTTTTATATCGTATTTCATTCATTCGAGAGTTTTCTTTTGCAAAATCCATATGCACTGATTGACCCACATCTAGTTGGCTAATCCAAAACGAACGCCGCTCGATTGTGAAATCCTGTCCATCTGAAGTCGTCACCAGCAATCTTCCGACGGCTGCCCCTATTCATTTTCAACAGCTTTTCACATGATCCGTTTTACAATAACGACCCCGAAGGAGACGCAACTAGAATTATTAGTAATGATCCTGAAAACTACGTTGACCGATATTTTTCGGCCATATTGGTTCGATATTTTGGCAAGAAAGTCTGTGATCTGTTTAATGGCAAGTGCCAAATTTAACGATTATATAACGAACTAATGAGGTCAGATAATATTGCTTGTGCCAGTTAAAATGGCCCCTGGGATAATCAATATGCTTTATGAGTTAATATTATCGGATATCATCCACCTTTAACATTTTATTCAATAATTACGGAAAGCGCAAAAATAGATGCTGTAATGAAAGCAATAAAAGATTTTGCGAGTGTCTTTATTGAGCCATTCAAAATTCTTGTTTCCTGGTCTTTTAGCAATCATCACTTAAAAGCGAAAAGAAGCCTGTTAGCGATTATTTATTAAATCCCATAATCCACTTCTCCGTTATGTTCGAAGAAGCCATCTTGACCCATTTTTTTGAGAGATTATTAAACATTTATGTTATTGCAAGGACAGTAAAAGTTTCTTTTATCCTCGAATAAATCTAATTTGAAAATATTTTTCTTGGTTTAATTGCCGGTGAGAAATACGATCGTTTATATGTGTAAATGGGTGACATTTATCGTAATATCTGCAGACATTTCATTATTCTGGTTTACAGTCATATTAAGTAATTTTACAGTGGCATTCTACTTATACAATATAAAAGATCGTTCTCGTATTGTCTTTCCTATTTTCAATACTTTCTTATTATTCAAATTAAATAACTTTTTTATTTCCTAATAAATAATTTGATTGTTTGCGAATAGCAGGTGCTGTAAGCTTGGATGCGTGAGTAGTAGTGTAATGGATAAAGGCTGGTGTAATTGAAATTCGAGGAGCCGAGTCCCAATTCCAATTGGGTTCATCATATTCTCTTTCACGTGAGAAAGGCATGAATCTACGTCTTCGCTCTACAGCTACGTGCTAATTAGTATTAATTGTATCAGTAAGTCAATATTTTCTCCCCCAAAATTTCATAATCTAAAAATATATTCTGGTTTCACGTAACCTGAAAAAGGTTGATAAGCCGTAAAAAAAAACAAAAAAACATGCCAATCACTCCTACAAAATAATGACGATTTCTGTATCATCATATGAAAAAGAATGTGAATTTCCGCTGTAGAAAACCAAAAACAAAAATTAAATAAAAGTTCCTCTGAAATATCTTTGGAAGATTATCGAACATGGAGGTTAAATTAAAAAAAAACCAAACCCCATGAATTTATATGTAATGGGAACAACATTTTTGAGAAGTACATATAAAACAAATATTCTTACAGTAACATATTGATTTGTTATCTTGTTTTGTTTTTCTCTCACAACATTTAGACCACTATACACCCTGGGTTTCCATAGGTATATCTTGCATTTCGAAACACTCTAGCAATGCGAAATCAAAACACTTTCTTTTCTTTTTTTTAAATTTGCAAAGATGTACTTTTCTCCTGTTTAGACCTGTCAACTCCGCGGTCTTCATCAATTCCTCCTGCGTTGCCACTTCACTCGGAGATTGAACTCAAAATTTAAGGGGACCAAGATGAGATTTTATCAGTGATTGTACATTCAATGTTTCTTTTTTTAAATAAAAGATTCTGCGTGCATGTAATATGTTTTAGAAGCATATAATAAAAAAAGAAGGCATTTCGACATTTTCTAATGGTTAATAAGCTTGTCCTGCTAGAACAATTACCACTGAGTATTGAGTATGATCCTTACTGTCTGCACCATACTTTAGGCCTTGTACTCCACGCTCAGAAAATCACTTCATAATAAAAACTAGGTTAAAACTTGCAGTTAAACTGAGATGTGTACACGAAAGAAAAGTTCTTATTTTATTTACAAAGCATAAAATAATTGACAATACAATAATTAATTAATTAAAAGGAGATTATTGGAGGTAGAAATTGACAGCAGATTTTCAACAACTGTGTTAACTTTTCTAAATTTTCAAAATATTGTCTCTTGATACATTTATCAAACACATTGTACAGTAAGACATATATATATATATACATAATTATATATGTTTAAAAATTCAGATATAACAAAATATCTGTAAAAAGACATTATAGCTAAAAACAAAGAGAAAACTTATCTTAGCCGACGCGTTTTGTCCTCTGATGAACTTTTTCATGACAAATGTATGGTTTTATCCTCTTTTTTGCAACAAATATATATATATATATATAAATAGATTTGAAAGATTTGTGAGACACCAAAAACTTCTTCTCACCACTGTCAAACGGTGAAACATGACGTGGTTTGGACACATTACAAGGCACGACACCGCCTCTCCAAGTTCGGCCTTAACCAGATATTGAACTCACAGGTTTTGAACACTTTGGGTCCTGTCTCACACACACACACACACACACACACACACACACAGATAGATAGATAGATAGATAGATAGATAGATAGATAGATAGATAGATAGATTGATAGATAGATAGATCTGAAGAGATATTACTACTGGCATGACTTTGCTCATTTCACGTCATTTACATATATATTTGTGCTTCTGAATTTGAAAATGTAAGCCATGTTTCTTTTTCATGTAATATCTTTTGCTAAAAACTTTTATAATACATTTCCACAAAGCTTATAACTATTTTATGTGATGTTAACTATCTACATTCCGTATCTTTTCAAAGTTAAATCGATATTTAAAATGGCAGGGTTCTTTGTCAAGAAGCCACAAGATAACACGGATACAAGAGAATGCTGAGTCATACCATTACGTAGAAGCCCCTCACGGGAAATGTATCATTGTCCCATGCATCGTCTTGTGTCACATAAAATAATAGCGATTTATTGAAGACCTACTGATACTAACTGATACTTTTTGTTTAACATTAGAGGCACATTAGAATACTTTGGTATCTTTAGTTTCTGTTTCGTATGTTTGTGGACAATTTGCTCTGGAACTTAGAAAAAATGACATACATTTTTTTAAAAAGCGTAAACTGCCAACTCAAGAAGAAAATTTGGAGATCTGGATAAAAATATTGGCTCCTTACAGTATCTCCTCTCTTCATATTGCGACAATAAAAGAATGTAAAAAAGAATGTTTTTGCTTTTACAATTCCTGTGATCACGAGAGATCCAAAAATCATCGTAACAGTTACAATTTTTATTCCTGAAAAAAATCAAGGATTTAAAACAATACCAGGAAGTAAACTAATCCTAATCTCCCAATTATTATAAAACCTGTTCCGTTAAGTTTTGTCCTTCAAAACCCGGTTCCACCTGTTAACAATATTAATGTTGGAATTCTCACAGTAGAAGAAAATTCTTCAGATAAATTTTAATAATTTTTACAAAGATTTTTAACCAATAAACTATATACAATGCTCCCCATGTGAACTTAATAACTTGCCAATACGCATCGTTCACTCTAAAGATAGAACACCTGAGATGCATACTAAAAGAAAAGAAACGTATACAGATTTTCTCTTAAAACCAAAATAGATGAAAAAGCTTTTGCTCCATTTTTTACAATGATTTGCAATTATTAACAAACTTTTAAGACCACTTAGTTGCAACAAGATTATTTCCGGCATTTTTTACATTATCTTCTACATTATGAGATTGTATGATGCAATAACGTTTTGGTATTTCATCAGCCATTATTTACACATTTCTTAACGTCCAACTTTTTTGTCATTGCCAAGAGCAAAGGAGATCATATAAAATACTGACGACAGGACAATTTTGCTTTAAATGAATAAAGGCCATTGAGATATACAAATGTGTGCGTAAAATTGAATTTACTTGTTACACTTTTTGATTTAAGCCTATAATAGTAAAATTGCAAATTGTCTAAAACTTTTATAATTGTCCCATTGTATAAATAGTGTATAGATTACAATTACCAATAACATCATTCACTCACTTGCGTTTATTAGACATTAAATTATATCACTTAGCATCCTCCATAATTTACTTTGCCTTTCAGTTAACCTGAAGTATATTTATATGCGTTCTTATACAAAAACTAACAACATTTCTGTAGGGATACACAAGGTGCTTATCTAAGTTTGGTGGAGATAAGTCACGTGGATCAAATAATGGCCGCTTCGCGACGTCGCACAATACAGTGACCAAAGCGGCACTCATTTTTCAGTTCGTGAATAGCAACCAAACAGAAAGGTTGCTTTTTTTAGCCTGGGCCAAAGGGCTTAGGCTGAGACTAAATCTATCACTTTCTGCACTTTATAGCTACATGGTTTGCGTTTAAATCTGGAGTCCTAAAAATGGCTTCTTCAGGTCAGCACAATCTGCAACTTATATATAAGACCTTTCCTTTTTATTCCTTCTTATAACTTAGTTTCCTGCGTAGAGACATGTGATATATAGTTCTTCACGTGGGGCATATGCATATATTTATATATATAGTATTGAGTATGTCTTAGTTTTATAAAAGTCCCTTTGAGAACAAATAATGTCTCTCCACTATTTACATTATTCGGATTATTGCCCTCATAATTGTCGCCATATTTATCACAACATTTCGCCGTTGTACGCTCCGGCCTTCTTCAGGTGGTTGGAATGTCGAACTTAACCCTTAGTTTCGCTCACTGGGGTAGACTGTTATAGTTCCACGTGCCATATTTAATGAATGTCAGTTATACTCCTATTAATTCTCCTCTCAAAGTTCTCCACTGCCGCCTTAACCGGATATTGAACTCACACACTGTGGATGAAAGCGTTGG